TTCGAGCGTCCAGTTCTCTACCAATCGTAAAGCGCGTATATTTCTCCGTTCCTTGTAGAACAATACTTTCTAAGTCTTTACTTTGAATATACTGGTAAAGATCCTCTGCAGTTTCAATCAGAAAAGTTTCAATTCTGTAATGGAGATTTGAGTTTGCCTAAAGCAGAAACAAACATTTTTTTCAAATAATTCACTTTGAAATGTCTCTCACTGAAAGATTGTTATCTTTATTAACGTTAAAATGTTTTTAACATTCTAGTTCATGCATATAAGCCCGGGAAACAACATTCGCTTGAATCAAAAGTACTTTATTTTGGGGTAAATTTTCTCAATATCCTTACCATACCGTACATTGTGAGTTTATGGATTACCTTTTTCACCTACTTCAGTGACCATAAAATTCAGATTCTTGTCTTTTGATAACTTTGTTTTTTGTCTGCTCTTCTGTTCTCAATACATTTTTTTTTTAATTTTTAACATTTTTTTTTCAATATGCCCCCAACCTACCAAGAGAAATAGTAACAATGCTTTGAAATAATTTGAATCCAATCCATTTTATCTATGAAGATATGGTTAAATATTCAAATAAATTATTGTTATTAAATCATGGAGAAAAATGTCATAATTCTGTTATTTAACTTTGACTTAACTGTTCTGTCCTTATTTGTGGGATCATGATTTATACGTTTAAACGTTCAATACTACTGACATATTGATAAGTTTACATAAATGCACTTCCTAAGGATGCCCCATTTATTAATGTAATTTATTATTAGAAGAGAATTTCAAAAGAAATACTATTATATTCTACCATTTTTTTTTTAATTTTGCCACCTCTTACATCGAAAGCAATAATTTGGAATTTTTTAGATATTTATAAATCATTGAAATTTAAGTAAAGGTTTGTATATAAAGGTAAGGGAATATTACTCCTCCTTCATATTCATGGGGTCATATTTTTTATCCCCAGCAACGACAAACCAAAGTCAATTTAAGATCATCAACTACTCCGTTGAATAGTGCTTGGCATTTAGAATTCGAAGTCTCGATGTCATGTTTGGAGTTTTAATTGCTTTTAATCTAGTAGTGTAAGGTAAAAATTCACATTTACTGCTTTAATAAATATGCATCATTGACATTTAGTTCTTTTTGGACTAGCTAAACAAGATTTGACAGGGATGTGAATCTTCATTCAATTAATCATTCAGTCTTTGGCCGAGTCGGTTAAAGAATATTTTGGATTAATTTTTATTTCTCAATTATATCTTTGTGGAGATAATGATTATTATTCAATTAAAATAAAACGTATCCCGTTCTACAAAACAAAATGAAACAGTTTGTCTAAATGAGGGATATCAAAGATGAAAATGGGAATGGTGGACAATTGTTGATAAGAAAATATCAGGGTGATTTGAACCTTTTGCATCAAGTTTACTGTATCTTGAAGAAATTACAAATGTCATGAAAATCATAATAATTACATTTACATGTATATGAAACAAAGCAGAAATTTATAGTTAATTTGCATTTGACGAGATTTACCTCCGTTCTTTTAGCTTCGATGACTTGCAGATCTCTACAAAGCTGATCCAGATACTTGTTTGTATCATCTGTATTTTGTCTTGCACATTTAAGCTTGCTGGAAAGACTTATATCACAGGCATCAACAAAGGATTCTATGTATCTGTAACATGAATATTGTAATACAATTTTTACAGTTCAGTTATACAGGGTTTTAATAAATTAAGCTACATTACACGCACCTTGGTTCCAACGGATAAAAAATGAAAAAAAAAGTCTCCATTCTTATCTATTTAATCATTTTTTGAGAACTTTACGTATTACATATAATGAAACAAAATTTGTGTTTTTCCCAAGAAAACACTATATTTTAGGGCTATGAATATGTACCATAGGGTATGTATAACGACTTATAAAGAATCTACATTGTATCAGCCTTACCATTCGGGAAGAATGTCACGATCTAATTCAAAATTTAATTTTAATACCAGGTATTATATTTTGATACCTAGAAACTAGAAGAACTATGAACAATGAACTCACCCCCTCTTCCAATATGAATAAAATGGCAAAATCAGTGTTTTTTTTTTTACCTTGGGAGACCCGAAATAAGTGTTAGATCAAAAAGAGAAATAGACGATGTGGTTCACAATGGTATTATGTGGTGATGAATCTGTGAAAGTTTCATTAAATTTACTGTGTGGTAAACATGTAGAAGGATCTATGGATAAGAGATGAGTTCCCATCAGAAGAATTGTCGTGTCCATGTTTTGCTCTAGGAAACCCGAAATATGTATGTGTGTGTGTGAACAAAATTAGAATAGAAGGTGCTTAAGTGCGCTATGTAAAAAGATTCTAATTTTCATTCAGTGGTAAAATAGGGGTTGTGGATAAAAGATTGGTACGGTAAAGTGTAACACGCGGACAAACGAAGATACAGACAGCTAGATTGACGGACAGACAGACGTATGGACAGACAGACGTATGGACAGACAGACGGACTTATTGATCTTTTTAAACCCCCACTGTTTATTTATCATTCAGATTGATTCACCTTTACCCTGCATTGAACCCTGAGACATATACTATTTGTTTTTTAATCATGTGTTTCAGAAAAATACCTTTATAATGTACTAATTTCACATTTCTAGCAACTCAAGCCTCAACATTTTTTTTTTTTTTGTCAAGACTTTCTCACCTCAAATGAACTATAACTCTTTTGAATTCATTTTTGGTTATGACGTCTTTGAGAATCTGATAAAATAATTCGAATTCCGCAGTGTAGGCTTCTTCTTCATAAACCTAAGCCAAAAAATATGCAAATAGATTACATGAAGCAGAAGAAAGCACTGTCACGTAACACTTTTCTTAATATTAAATCCAGCTGACACACAATTTGGATTTTAGTACGACCAAGAGATTTGCACACTTCTATGAACAAATGCAACAAACTTTTATAGACGTTTATTTTACGCAGCTTCAATGTAGGTTCTTGAGAAACAGTACCGACCGGACACAACCTAACACCAGCGCAAACCCGAGATGGATCCCAGGTTCGCTTCCCAGGTTTGCTCGGGGTCCGCTTCGGGTTCGCTTTCAGAAATACACTCTGGGTGCGCTTTGGGTGCGCTCCGGGTTCGCTCCGCGTTCGCTCGAGGTCAGTTTATGCGGCGATAGATACACGTACACTTTACATGTACATGTAAACAGTGAAATTATGGAGAACATTGATAAATTTTCCAAAATTCAACTGTACATTTGACGTAGATGTACATGTATAATTGATTTTCTTGATTTCTCCGATCTCGGAATTTCGATACCGAGAGTTATTTAACAAAGGGTAAATTAAGCATTTATTTTTCTTTAGTTATAGCGTGAAAAAAAAAACAGAAGAGGAAGAAAAAGGTGTTGAATTGATATTCAATGTATCGAATGGTGTACAAGTGAAACTGAAGTTACATGTACATATAGCATCTAAGCAAAATACCTTTCAAATTCATGCGTTATATACTTTAAAATTATATTTGTTATTTCTTAAGTTTTGCAAAATTATATATTAAATCTTTGCCAAACACTTGAATTATGATATTGCATCCATAAATTACATTAACCTTTTTAAAGAAGAAGGTATGGATTCAGCTTTATTGCGCCCTAAAAATATAATGACATCAAAAAGTTTTGAAACTGGCTTAAATATTAGTTAAATAAATGACTCTCATAAATCAGGAAAGAATATGGCATAAAGGTTTACCATTCTGAAAATATGACGTCATTAATGTGAAGCATTTCTCTATTTTCAACAGAAAAAGCCTCAAAATGGCACATTGCAAGGGTGATTTTCCTTTTGAAAACAGTGTCCACAGCCGTCGCCCACTTTAATTTTTTGATATTTTATGCAAAATTCAATAACAAATTACATATCTCAAGATCTTTGTGGGCGATGCCTGTGGACAATGTTATCTGAAAGAAAATTCCATTGAAAATTGGTGTCTTCGGCAACTTTTTAAGAAAATACGGGAAAATGCACATGTTTATGACGTCATAATTAGCATTTAAAAGCACATGTGAAAAAAATTACTTGTGTGATTTTTCTGCATTGAATTTCAATTATTTAAAAAGCATGAGTTTTCAACTTTTACACCAGTTTCATTTTTTAGAAAATCACAGGGCAAAATTTGTATGTAAATCATACCTTCTTCTTTGTACACGTGATATATTTAGATTTCATTCATAGTAGTTACAAATAAAAAGTTCGAAATAAATATTTACAGGACATTTTCAAAAAAACATTATATCAGATCTTTTTCACGCTCAGAATTATGGAGCGAGTATGAATTTAATCAGAATTAAAAAAAAATAATAAAATGACACATAATTATTGTTCTCCTGGCCCGCTAAGAATATGATGATATATCCCCCCTACTTTACACACACACATTAATAAAATTAAAAATTATCTTTAAAAAAAATTCTTAAAGCCATATATGGCGTATGTACAATGAAAATTATTAGACTAAAATTATAAGAACTTATCATTTGTATGATTACTTTATATAAAGATAGAACTTTTCCGTAAATTACAAAATCTAAGTCAATTGCGTTATAAAGATATCACAATCTAATTTGGATTTTTGGAATTTTCTCCGGCTCGGAAGAAAATACAAAAGATTTAAATAACACATTACAGAGAAGATAAAATTGTATTATTAGGTGAAACGAGGTGTTCTCCGTGTTCAGAATTGTATGAAAAGCTTTAATTTAAATGTATTAACTATATTATTTACTTAATTTTGTATTTTTAAAAAATATATTTTTTTGATCAGTTACGCCATATATGGCTTTAATATTTGAAAATAAATTACTGCAGGAAACATCAAGACCAAGAGAGAGAGAGAGAGAGAGAGAGAGAGAGAGAGAGAGAGAGAGAGAGAGAGAGATCTAAACTGTATTAACTCTCATCATTAGACTAGATTTTAATAATAAAGCCTGATAACCTTTTCTTAAATTTCTACGAGTCATCCTCCCAATCCCGTTCTCGAATTGTTTTCCATAAGCCTGCTGCAATACTTTTTTTTCTCTCAAAAATATACAGGAAGAGAAACATGTACATGTAATTTTAATTTAAAAAAAAATCAATAATTTGGACGGATATTTTAAATAAATCATAGGAACACGTAAATAGAGAAAATGGAAATAAAATTATTGAATGATAGGCACGTAGATATTGTTGTACTGTTAGTATCTTGAGATGATGAAATTTTACAATAATTGTCAAAGACCAACTATTTTTCTTCTCTCCTCTTTTTGTCAATAAAAATTGTAATACCAATTACTGATTTCTTTTTTACGCATTGACTGATGTATTTACTCAATTTACCCATTGGCTTTAAATACTGGTATAAAGAACTATAAAGAAAACAAATACGTGATTCATGTATCCTTCTATTTGGAAAATTAACAAATAAAATTTATTAATTGCTTTAATATAAAAAAAGAAAATGAATATATAAATATGAAATACAACCAGGAGAATTAAAATAGATAAATATAAAATAATATTTTGATTATCATAAAATACTTACACTGTAACTTTACACCTTTAGCTTGTATGTACAATGTTTGGATTTGTATTGAATTAAATCAACACTTTCGATCTTTTATCCCAATCGACAGATCAATATGCTATTTTGATTGGTTGACGCGCTGATTGGTTAATCGCTACTACTGATTGAAAGCTCTGTAAAGAAATACCGAACGGGTGTTCGCTCTCTGAGGCCGCTACTGAATTTGGGGTTTGCTCTCTGGGTCCGCTACGGGTTCGCTTTGGGTGCGCTTAGGGTTCGCTCGGGGTCAGCCCTAGCGGACCCCAAGCGAACCCGAAGCGGACCCAGAGAGCAAACTCGGGGTCCGCTCCGGGTTCGATTTCTGTTAGGTTGTGTTCAGTCGGTCTTGTAGTCTCACCTATTGAGCTATATCGGGATGGCTTTGGAACGATTACGTTGATTTATTAACTTTTAATGTTTGCTGATTTACATGTACTAGCATTGTTAAAAGAAAAGGTTTAGGACATGTTTGATAAAATTGTGTAATATAATTCTTTACCTTAGCTGCGGCGAATTTAAGAATATTTGTATCTTTCACATCCTCCCACATTTCATGAACTGTTTCTCTGAGTTCTTCGTAAAGGTCTTTCTTTCGCCTTTTTTTTGTTGGAATAATTGAATCCCACTTGTTGAGCAGAAAAATTGCATCTTGAGGATCGAAAGAGTACATTTGACTCATCGATTGCCTCACATGCTTAATAATATGTGAAAGCTACAAATTATTTAAATGAATGTTAATAAGTGTGGCTGAAATATTCAAATGATGTAAAATTTGCATAAAAAAGAAAGAATACGTTTATTTACTTCTCTTTTATTATAACGTTTTAGAGTTAGAAAAAATATGTTTTATTTGTCAAAGATATCCTTTCCCAAAAATATATATATATTTATTAATAAAAGGTGATTAAAAAAAGAGTACCCTATCATCTTGAAATCCACCTGCTGAAGCAACGCTTACAACAAATATAAAAGCCACTGCATTTGGTAGATAATCTATCATCTTTGACGCCACATCATCTTGTCCTGAGTCTCCCTTTCCAGGGGTATCAACTATTATAATGTTACCCTAATTGAAAAGAAAGATTTAGTATAACATTCCTCAAATGATCATATTCAAAATTTTGGGACCAGAAATTTGGAATTTTAAGAAGAAATGAGGCTTAACGCAAGCATATATGGTGACATTTCTAGGGAATATGAACTGATAAAAAAGTTTTTAATTATCACTTATTTGTGATTAAAGAATCGTCACGCCTTTAAATGGCAGCTTATGAAGTGTTTATAGTTTTTTCAAATGTAATTAACACTCCAAAGTCAAGGTTAAAAGTTAAAAACATTGACATCCATTGATAAATCTTGTCACTATAAATACACCTATGAAATATTTAAAGGTACTTGGTCACAGATTTGAAGTTAATATTTTCTCTATAATATTACGACTTATATAATTTAATAGCATTTCACACAAAAATTAATTAAAAATCCTATTTCATTTAAAAGTTACATGTATTATAACTTCAAATTTTTTGGCGAGTTTGATTGACACATCCATGCACTTTCACAAATTTTAACTTTATTTTTAATGCTTAGGAAAAGTGGCAATCCTGTTGTGTATTAATCAGAAATATTAAAACTTTAATTCAGAAAAAAAAAATTATTCAGAATAGAAATGTTAGAAAGCAAAACTCCTTCACAAGTATCGTCATTCCGAGCTAAGTGTTGTGTATAGAGTTAAGCATATCGATCACACTCGTGTTATGTACACATTTGTGTTATGTACACATTTTTTATAAACAGGGCACAAGCTCTGTAACTGCTGATGTTTACGATTCCCCAGGTGCGTTCAATCGTCAAAGTTTTCTCACCACAACTGCAAGGACTAACAATATATTGCGTGTTTGTTTTGCTTTCGAACATGTCTACTCTGAATTTTCTGGATTAACGTATTGATATATTTCATTTATACACAAAAAGATTGCCACTTTTCCTAAGTATTAAAAATAAAATTAAAAATTAGTGAAAGTGCAACATTGTGTCAATCAACATGATCAAACCAGGCAAAAAATTGAAATTTTAATAACTTTTTAGGACTAGAGACCTAATCCGAAATTTTGCGCCACTGCGCAGGAAGTCGCGCATCTGCCTTGAATCAGATTGACGTAATTGTGTATTGCTAATGATGATTGATATACACTTTTTAATGTTTTCAGAGAGTTTCATACCTTTACTCCCAATTCAAAAATATTTTACACATTCATTTGTTGATTCTATAAGTCAATGATTATTTTACGAAATCTGCCGTAAGCGCATGGCGAGAAAACAAAACGGGTTTTGATGTTGATGACTTTTTCTGACTCGCCAGTCAGGCTGGCTTTCTTCATTAGAAGCTGAGTTTTTCATTAAAAAATGAAGTGCAGCAAGTTCAAACATCGTAATAATGTACGACCCCTGTCTCCCATTATCGATACGATTCTAGAGCGGATTCTGGACCGTGACCCGAGAAGATAAGTTCAAGTTGATGTTTCTGATAGAGATGATTAATTTTTGTTGGGAAAGATCTTTTTCTGAATAATGTCTGTTAGGTTGCCTTTTCATCCTAAAGATGATTTAAATATGCATGATGCTAAATGAACATAAAGGTGTTTGTACATTGTAAATGAAAGAGAAAACAAGAGCACGGAATGTCAGACCTAACAGCTGCCAAAGCTAGCTTGTAATTTCTGATGTGATATCAACACTATTCAACATTTCATTTGGAACAGGTAACCATATTTAGATTTTTCTGTTTTAGGCTAAATGTTGCGTTTATTGATTATGTTTTATTATTATTGTTGAATATATATTTTTTTAATGTATCTTTAGGTCTGTGTAAAAAATGGATGCAATTGCATTGTAAATGTTAAGCAAAATACCTTATTAGAATAGCCGAGTTTATAAGCCTACTTAATTCTCAAAGAATATTCAACCAAGCTTAAAGCCATGCAGATAAACCTGGCTATTTACCTGCTTAGAGATGAATCAAGTAAAGTACCAGCAATGGTGAAATAGGCTGATCACTTTATTTTTAGATATATGTATTTTGTGCTAGCTTCATTCAATCATTGATAAAAATTTTCCTATATAGCAATGAATTTAAAATAGTAAACTTCTTTTGAAGATTTTACATGTGTGTTGTTGGTAATTCCCCTGTGTTACCAACATGTAATCATTAGAATCAAGTATGCTATCTTATATGTCATGTATTTGAACCCTTGAATCATTTGTTTTAATGCAAAAGTTGTTGAATCATTAGTTGTGTATCGATCATAATTGTTTCCTACAAAAAAGATAATAATGATTTGACTCCATCTTTTACAGTACATGCATTCGTGGCTTTGAAATATTAACAACTCAAAATTGAATAACACAGATCATGCTATCTTAGGCAAATTTAAGATGTATGTATACGTGCATGAATGTAGATTACAATACTCAAATGAACTTTGCATTTCAAATTTCATGATTTATTTATTTACCACAGAAAAATATCTACAGACTGAGATACTTGTATTGAGGAAATACCTGCTGTTGAAGAAAAAAAAACCCAAGACATGTTTGTTTAGGTATGTATTTGAAGTCTTTAAGAATGAGAACTTCACTCCTGACTTTTTCAAAAGGGGGATAAATGTTTAAAGTCATTCTCCTATTCTTTGTACACTGACAATGCAAATTAATCATATACTTTATTAGGGTGTGAATATCATTTTTTTTACTTTGAGTCTTTCAGTTTATTCATAATTTTCTTACCCTCCCCGATCGATAGATCAGAGGCGTATATTGTTTTTGTCCTGTCTGTTTGTCTGTTTATCTGTTTGTCTGTCTGTTGTCAACTTTAATCTTAGCCATGACTCTCGAATTTTAACAGATATAGACTTCATATTTGGTATGCATATTCCGATAATTAAGTTTGCAAATGACATCAAGGTAAATGACCCTTTGACCTTAACTGTGACCCCTAAGCTAAAAATAGCTTTTCCAATCTTTGTTGCCGCCGGGTGCATAGTGTTTTTCTTATATCTTACCTTTCTAAAAGAAATGCATAAAATTGTGTACATTTGATATTGATTGATTGAATGTTATATATTTATCTGAATATCACATAGTTTTTATGTATTTCAGGTAGAAACAACAATATACCGGTAGTTCAAATTGCTGCATCTATTGGAGAACCCATTGTCGTCAGGAATTTTTCTTGAATTTCCAGCATTTCTAAAAATGCACCAAATTGCAGGCATGGATTGTTTGTTGTAGCTTAACACATGTTACAAGATTATTTAACCCTGATGAGAAGTCACAAAATGCAGTGAATGACACTAGGGAGCAATGAGGAGTGATGGTTGTTTAGTGTGCCAATATCTGCTGTTCACTGGGACCACAACATTTACTCTCTCAACCAAAAGACCTCCAACTTCACAGCACCAGAATATATAATTAGCCACTGGGAAAATTTTTACAAACTTTTCATATGTAACAATATTGCAAGTTCATAGTGTTGCTCTACATGTAAACAGTATGTACATCATCTATTAGATATACAGATGTGATGAAATAATTAGGAACTCTAGTTAGTGTACGGTTAGTTTTACCCCACATGTATATATGGAATTTCTCATAAAAAACAAAACTAAAAAATCAAAGTTTGTATATAAGGTAACAGCTAATAGCTATTTAAAATGACTGAGTGAAATCATTATAAACAAACATATACAAGTAAAATATTTTTTGTATATTAAATTTCATCTACACATGTATTTGATATCGAATGGTACTGTTTGATACTTCATAGTTAAATCTGTTATATCTGTCATCATTTTTTCCTGAAACGTAAAATACTTTATAAATAAAATATTTTACCTGTGTGTGAAGATTTCATAGTTTTACAATTATAGTAGTCTAGGCTCAGAGTAAAATAACACAGGTGCATTATTGTGAAGTTTTTGGTTGTAAGGCTTAATATCCATTACATACAGTTTTGTAAAAAGACACATGAATTCCCAATTGGAAAATTTTGCAAAAAATTCCCAGATTACAAATTGATAGACACTTTTAGCTCGCCTGAGCTGAAGTTGAAAGGGGGCGGGGGTTAAGGTGGGACACAATAGGGGATCAAAGTTTTACCTAGAAATATCAAGACATTTTTTTTTCTCAAGAACAGAAAATCCATTTTTAGTCATATTGGTATGGAGGCATCCTCAGGTAGTAAAAATGGTATTGGTGCAAATGAGGGCACCCGGGGATAGGGCTGGACCAAAGTATGTGATGGGGTGTCAAATGAAAAAATAAAAAAAAAAATCATCTGCTCAATAACAGCAAAGCCAGTTGTTATATTGATATGGAAGCATCATCAGGTTGTTTAAATTTCAAGCGTCAGTATTTGACTATTTGATCATATACAGTAAAGCACGTATATAAAGAAAAATAAAAAACACCTATCTTGAATTAGTCCCTTATACTTAAATTTACACTATGTATGATTATTTCTAATTTGACAAACACTGTATCATGTACATGTATTTGTGTTAATTACAGGTATGCTAGGAAAACATTAACTTTTGAAATAATCAAGCTTTCATATATTGATTTGTTACACAGGGGACCCATGGGACGTGGGTCACCTAAATCGTACTTTGAGACAATCCTTAGAGTATAATACGCATATATTTCACAAAAATTCTATTTTATTACCATTCCTAGAGTGTTAAAAATTTAAATTATTATTTTTATTTTGTGTAAAAGTAAACTGAGGAATAAGAAAATAAAACAACACAATTTTTTGGCCACGGGATTGTCAATGATTTTTTTGTCAAAATTGCCATTCAAAAGAGATTGACACACCCCCTTAAAAATTTAAGCTAGTGACCTATTTATTTTTTGGCATTATTTGCTACTAAATTATCTTGTTAACATTGTATCTTAATATGAATAAATATTCCATTGTAGATTTTTTAAAGATCACTTTATACCACAAACTCGTTATTTCCCTTTACTTCCTATAGTAAGCATCGATTTCCGTTGCCTACTTTTAAAACGCTCCCTAATAAAAATCTATATCGATGAATGTATAATTTTTTCATCGATTTTAACTCGCAAAAAGTCACTTTAAGTATTTTATTTTGTGAAATGCTATTAAAATATATAAGTCGTAGTATTAAAAAGAAAATTTTTACTTCAAGTCCCTTTAAGTCGTACCACCAACTGTTCAAAAGTTATGATCAAGATTAACGTTTTGAAAGTTTTGGGAAAAAATGTGAAATTCAAAGGTAAAGGTCAAGAGGTCAAATTTGGTGATGCCTAACAAAGGTTTGGTCACAAAGAATATACATATGACGAATATGAAAGACACACCCTTATCACCTTAAAAATTAATGGCAAATGTTGAAGTTTTAAGAACAGAATAACATACAACACGACAGAGTGTGCAAAAACTGTATACCCCTGAATGTTCGATAACGTGGGTATTACAAACAATTATAGAGATTCATTTAAAGTAAAACATAGGAAAAGGAATTCTTTATTTTCCTGATTTCAATAGAGCATGAAATATTTATGTTATACGTTGTATATGAAAAAGAATAGATATTTGCAGCCTACCTTCAATAGCGGTACCGGAAAACAAATATCTATATATTCTATTCGATGGTCATATGTGTTAGCTATATCTTCCAGCATCTCACTCATGTCTTCTTCATCCTTAAATTCTGACATAGTTAACACTTTCCCGTCTTTATCTAGCGTTGATACTTTTCTTTTTTCTGAGTATCTTATTCTACACACTCTTGTTGTCGTTGCCTTGATATGAGATGGTAAAATATCTTCGCCGAGTATTAGATTTATTATGGTTGATTTTCCAGAGCCTGTTTCTCCTTAGAATAGGACGAAAGTGTAAAAATAGACAATAAAATATCCAAATATTATGATATAATATGTGATATAAAAACAATGTCTGTTTTTTTTCTTTTTTAATTTTTTTTTTATAAAAACATGAAGACTAAAATCACCTGCTACCACAATAGCACAATCCGTCATCATAAGATCCTTCTTTCTAAAATCTAACTGTTTATGTATATCTTTAAATTTCCGCAAATCGGGTTTTATATGCTGTCCAAAGCCTGGTCGTTGAATTAATATCTCCATAGATTTATATAGTTCGTATATATCTTCCTGAAGACAGTCGTAACTGCTGATATTTCTGAAATATAGATAAGAATTTACAAAATTACAGGTTGCTGCAGTATTCGAAGCTCAGCAAACATGATACAATAATAAAACGGATATTCAGTGTAAATGGTGAATGTAGACTTTGAGTCTTTTTATATAAAGAAAAATAAACATCACACTTAACCTACATAAATAATACTCTCGAAATCGGTTTATTAATCCGCTTACAAATGCACTAAATTATTCTTCCTTTAAAAGAGAATTTTTTTAAACTTTGCAAGAGAAATTTCTGAATACTTCGACAAATGTAGGATTTAGCTAATTTTTATGGATTGAATTTATAAATCATATCAAGAAAACTTAAATGAAAAAAGTACAAAGAGATAAATAATAATAATTCATGCAGGCATGACAGCATTGCCATAATTAATGTATTATTATATGCATGTAATAACTGGATCTCAGGCGCGTCGGATAAGGAGATTGAGGTTTGTAGGATTGGGAGAAAAGCTGTCCCAACTTTCGATTTAGCACAGTTTGATTAAGGTGTTTTGAAAATGAAATTATCAAATTCGGTTCTGAAAGGAACCAAGACCCCCCATCCGCCTTACATATATATAGACAACACTTGAGTTGGCATAATTTTTCCCTTTTTTCCTAGTCAATATTGTTTTTTTTTTTGGAAGGGGGGTGTTTATTTTCTTTAGCTGCCCAAAAAAATACTACATAAATGATTTTATATGAAGATTAAAGTCGAGTTTTGTTTACTAAAAGTGTTCATAAAAAAGCATCGACGTATGGTAACCTACACGTCTATGGTTAACGTTGTACGTAAATAAAGGCAGAAAAAAAAGCTCGTGTCTTAAAATTTTATAACATTAGGTTTAATAATGATGGTTCACAATTAACAATTGTAATAATAAACTGTAGGTTGAATATCGCACGCAATCAACGTTGCGTTTAAAATGTATTATTTAATAATTTTTTTTATAAGGTGTTATTCTTTGCTCAATCCCATTTTATGCAAATCTGTTATTCATTTCTATGAAAGAATTTCCAGCTCCGAATTGTAACAAATTCTGTAGACCCTATATGATTTAGTCTTTACAATATAAATATTACTAATGTTCTTTGAATTTTTATAACCAGTGATTTTTTACTCGAAATAAAAAAAAGCAAACACTATTTACGATTAGGAGGGTAATCAAAAAGTTATCAAACTATCTCTATATTTAACAAAACCACAGTTTAGTTCAGGATGACATCTGGCACATATAGAGTCATACATATGTTCTTTATAAAGAATATGTAACTGAACGTTTTACCCCGTGTTTTAGGACACAATGTGGAAATCACGCCATAATACAGATCACTTGTGAAAAAGATGGTTGAATCATTCGTATTCGAGAAACAAAAGACTGTAAGGTTAAACGTATATTATAGGAAAATCCTTCGAAGAAGCTTGTTTTTTTCTGTTTTCCAGCGAAAGCATATTGGGAAATACGTGTGTGTTTTGTGTAGCAATTTGACGTGAATGATCACCAACTTCCAGTTGAAAAATATAAATAAATTTCTATACAATATATAGTTCTTTTGTTGAGACTATTTAGATTTTTAGACTAAACATATCAGATATGATACAGTGAAGGCACGCATATTCTATCTACATGGAATAAACGCCGCTCAAAAGATAAATTGCTTGGGTTTTGATGGTCAACATGCTAATTCTGAAAAAGGATATTATTATGCACACATGCTATTGCCAAGATATGGCCATTTCCGACAAATGGACTGTTTTTGTCGTAAAAAATAACTTGCATGATAAGAAATATAAGAGTCTGGAAAAAATTTAAGCTTTTTTGGCAGAACGCTATGAAGCATGTCCCGTGACCGCCTATACATGTATCAAGGGACCCAAGCACGGGCAGAAAGGTTACAGATGCGCATTCAAATTAAGGGAGATTACTTGGGAAAACTTTTAATACTGCAATCCTGTATCATTCTTTTATAAAAGTTATTTAATAAGTTTGCGAACTTCATGATCAGGCTGCTTCATACTGAATTTATGTATTCAATAAATCAAAATGTAAATTTATCACCCAGTATCATTACCGGAAGTCACTACTGGAATGCAAATCTGTTAGTTCTTCCTGCATTTCCTTTTCGTCTTCTCTGTCTATTTTCTCTTGAATACAAGCTTGGGCTCTTGCATAGATTATTTCTTCTTTTTGATTCTTTGTATTGCTGTCTGAACTTGATTCAACTTCTTTCTTTGTCGATTCTGTGTTCATAGTGTTGCTCCTAAATCTACAGTATACGTAGAACATTAGAATATATAAAATTGAGGTATAGTATAAAAGCGTAGGTCGTTATTCGGGTTTTATTTTCTAAGAAGACAACACGGAATACATGTACAAAATTAAAAATCTACATTATTCCTGTGAGATTACGTTAAAAAAATTCAAAAGATCTGAGAACTACACAATTTTAGGAACCAGTTCCAAACTACGAATTAATGTACTGCCCGTATCTCAAAATATAAAAAAAAATCATAAATTAATGCAAATAGAAGGAATCTTAATAGTTAAGGTAGTTCTTATAGAGGAAATCATTGAAAGAATGAACATGTGTTTAACATAATGACAATATTTAGATGGCTTGAATAAAGTAGTATCGTATTTATTTATGATCGGAATCAGGATCCGTATAATGTGACTTCAGATAATAAAAGTAGTTTTGATTGATTGATTGTATATTGTTTAACGTCCCTCTCGAGAATTTTTCACTCATATGGAGACGTCACAATATGCCGGTGAAGAGCTTCAAATTTTGACCTTTACACGGCATTCATGGCCATTGAGCAGTGAGGGATCTTTATCGTGTCAATGCCTGCCGCTGACACGGGGCCTCGGTTTTTAAGGTCTTATCCGAAGGATCCGGAACTTTCACTTCAAAGTGCTAAGCGCAAAGCGAAGGAACAGTTGCTACCCATTTTTTATCGACTTAGGTCAGTCGCGGCCGAGATGCCAACTCCCGACCTCCCGATTACAGAGCGAGCGCTCTACCGACTGAGCTACCATGAACGGTAAAGTAGTTTTGAAGGGTTAGACAGAGAATTGACACGGGATGCTAAACCAATTAGACATTATGAAAAAGTATTATAGAAAAATCTTCTGATGATTTAGATTCTTACCCAGTATTTTTAAGAAGAAAAGGTTTCAGTCTGCATGAGGTATTAAGTAGATTTTGGGTCATTGTATATCTAGAAATGCTTTATCTTTACAAAACATCTCTAGCTGTTTTGACTCATTAAAGGGAGCAATTCGTTTAGTACTCTTGAAATGCAAGCAGCTTGCTAGAACATCTATTAACCTAAGGATGGCAAACACTATATGGCAAAATATGGGTTGTTTGAGCATAATAGATTACGATTTGCTCTGTTTCACAGCTCTGTATCATCCAGTTATTCAGTAGAAGTACTTGAGGATTTTACATGGACACAGTGTTAAGCTTACTAATAAAATGTCATACTGGTCCTAGCTTTTAACCTTAAAGCTGATATCAAAAGAAACTAGAGCATTTGTTTTAAGATTTAAGCAATACAATCTCAGACGAAAAAGGTATATTAGAAAAAAGTTAACTTCTTTCGTAAGATCATAATACAAAAGGGTTTGATATTATTCCTAAAATTATCACAATAACGAAAATTGACCAGCACCAAATCTGATATAGCCCCCCCCCCCAACCCGCCAACCCCCACCCCCTCATCCCGAGCCCCGAAAAATATTATAATATTATATTACACAAATACAAGATCTCCCTTGATTTGCAGTTGGGTATGATTTTTGATTTAAAAAAAATGGGTTTCTTTTCCCCTAATAAATACAAGATTCATTTATTGAAGGCCACACCTTAATTAAGATCATGGAAGATTTTTTTTCCATGTTTTTATATCAAAGACAATGTGTACACTGTTTTTGTAGAGGACTTCGCTTCATTTGACATCAATACTACCATTTACAGATAATTATAAGGTGACAAATAGAAATACCGGTGAATGTTTCAGATAGAAAAAAAATTCACAGTTGTGAGATTCTTTCAAGGACTTAAGGAGGAACGTAAAACAATATATAATCAATCAAGGACTTAAGTGATATCAGACAAATGTAATGCGATTCATATCTTCATGTTGTACATTATATCTTTTTTATTTACATCTGTAGCGTGATGTCCGAGTCACTTGATAGTAGGACATTTACTTGCAGTTTTCAGGTCATCTTTAAATTTTAATATTTTGCAATTGCATAACTGAATTGAATATATCCTTATACAGTTTAATTTATTTTTTTTCAGCATATATTTACTGATTAAAAAGTGTTGCAAACTTATATAATTATGCGTCCTTTCCCATAAAACGTCAAATTATCGATTGCATTGCAACCAATGATTCGTTTTAACCTTGCTACTTTGGATTTAACGAACGACAAAACGGCATCTAATAGTAAATTTGAATGTAGACTACAGCTACCCGACAGTTCAGTATTGTACATAGTTTCACCTTATACCCGGAATATTTGTGTGAAGTCGTAGCTAACATTTCCTGTATAAGTTTGTTCACGCCTTCGTCTTGTAGCCTTAACAGTGCTGCGTACCCATTGTGAAGTCAAAATTAAGGGATTTCAAATAATATCCAATCTGTCATACTCGCGAGATAGAGGTGAATACATGGGATAAATAAGAAAAAAACATATAAGGTGAACTGAAAAAAAAAATAGAAATTTTATATTTTACCAATAAATATACACCACACTTGAAGAAGGTGAATTCGATGCACACAGAAACTAGCATCACCCCCTTTTCATCCTCTCTACTAGTAAAGGGTACATAGAGGCTTTAAAAGATAAATAACCTTAAAGACGAAGATCCAAAATCGCTACTTCCATGAATATTATCTGATCTAAAACTCTGCCACTTTAAATTTTCTTTTGAAATTTCCTCCTCTGGTTCATCTAGTAATTCTTCTCTCATGGCCATGGATTCTGCAAAAAAGCATATTGTTGGCAGAAGTCTTTGAAATCATATCTGATATCATTTTTTAGATAATGATGCATATTAAAGCGAAGCGTAGTCTAAAAATATCTTAATTTATATATGAGTTGCTGTAACATCATACTTTTCTGTCTTATCTATCAGCCGAACAAAGTGGCAGGTTCAAATCGAAAAAAATATGTTGCCTCAAACCGAAATAACAATGTTTTGGATATCCATGGAGCATTTGCGTATCAATAATATTAGCTGCAGATCTGTAGCTATCCGGAAAAATATATATTGATAGACCGGATAGCTACAGTGCCACCCATTGAAAAAACTGTATATTTATTGCGCACAAAAAAGTGCGCTCGGTTTTCGATTTATTTCTCCATGTTCCTAAAACTGAAATCTCATAATATTACTAACCGTGTGTTCCTAACATATTCTTTGACTCTTTCCACAACAAAACATTCGTCATAATTATTTTTAATAGTCGTCCTGACCCTGATAGTGTAATCATCGAACATTTCGATTATATATACTGCCATTTTCGTTTCAAAGATAATTCGGTCCAAAAAGCTTCGTTCAGATGTCAACTACGAATGTATTAGATAAAAGAAACAGAAACTTTTTAAAATCTTCCCTCTTTTGCAATTGAGGTAAGAATTAGGAAGAAATAATCAAGAATCGAGCGCACTTTTTGTGCGCAATAAATATACAGTTTTTTCAATGGGTGGCACTGTAGCTATCCGGTCTATCAATATATATTTTTCCGGATATCCACAGATCTGCAGCTACAATAATATCAGCTCAAAAGCGGTTGATTACTTTAGACGATGTTACATATTTTAGTCGGATTTCAAGTATACATTCTTTGTAAAATTCTCATGGCTTATATACTGTAAATCACTTTTTATTCGCGAGGTCTTTATTTTCGCGTAATTTCGCGAGACAGTACGCTCGCGAAAAATTAATTCCCGCGTAAAATAGAAATCCTTAAGATTATCTAGAGCAGAGCAAAGACCACAATTCGCGAAAATTTTGTCTTGCAAGTGAAACAACAAAGAGCACTTCATATGACCCATTTTGTGTTCCTCAAGTAGACAAAGTCACACCTAAAAGTCAATTTCCGCTTTCTCAACAAAATCCAACTCTTAAAAAAGAAAGTCCAGTTGATGTGGTAAAAAAACAATTTGGGTACCATGGAGGTATCCCCATTTATAGCTAATTCACTTTCCAAATATATATGAATATATCGTATAAGCAATCCGCAAAAATGCTAGCCAAAAATGCTTGATACTGGAATTGCTCATAAACAGGGTTTTAAATTGTTTTACAGAGGTCTAAGACTTCTTTTTTCCTTTTTTAAAAATAACTTGGTGTCAGGTAATTGATACGGGGATATTTTATAGGATAAGCTACTAAAGGAATTATACGAGGATTGCATAGGGGGTCCATATCTAGATCTATGTTGGACGCACTGAATTTTTAATTTTTTGCATAAAATATAGCATATTTAATTAAAAGAAACTATCTAAGTAAATACCACCATGCTTCTTAATTTTTTTTAATATTCTTTTATCTTATATTTCATTTCTTTTTAATCTTATATGTTCCCTATTTATTTTAAACTGTGTTTTACTAATACCTGTCTGTATGTGTGTTTTAATGCAGGACCATATTGAAAACTAGCATTGTTGCTAAAGTATGTTATCTTGGATAAATAAAGGCTTTATTATTATTATATGATGAGTCTGCTTGTATCTTAATAGATACTGTGAGTTCCAATCTTAAAACGATTTTTTTACCGATTTCCTCTCTTAGTATATGTACTTTGCTTCAAAAATTTCCTAAAACACGCAGTGGTGAAAATCAGCTGCTGCATTCATACTAGATTGGAATAAAAGCGAAAATATAAATTCTTTGTAAAACAAACCTGTGCTTTCTTTTTTCTTCACACCATGTCTTCTTTTGAGGAGGAATTTCAGTCTAAAGATGATGGCCAGAAGAACACAGATGATGACAATTAGAAGCCTATTTAAAACAAATACAAGAAGAAATTTTAATATGCACATCATCTCTGAAAAAACAACAACATATTAATGTCTTCTCGCGAATTACTACAGAATCAGATAACAGGAAAATACC